AGCAGCACCACTTATTTTAGATAGGAAAAGGAAAACAAGAGGAAAAATGAGGGGAAAAATGCAATTCCCAAACTAGGCTCCTCTGGGGGGGGCACAGCGTGGAATTAGGAAAAAAATACTTCAACACATCAGCAACATGATAAAACATCACAACAAAACTCAGGACTTGCATGTGGGTGGGTGTGTGTGTGTGTGTGTGTGTGCGTGTGTGCGTGTGGGGGGGGGGACTCAACAGTGTCTCTGCCGTCTGATGCTGTTGACGGGACACGGCTGTTGCCGTGGGGACGACCTTGAAGAGTTCTGATCCAGAGACAAAGATCACAGGAGAAGGAGGGGGGTGGGGAGGGGCGAGCATCTGTCTGCATAACATCCAGGNGATGTAAACCTGAATATAAGAAGTGTGTCTGTATGTTTAAACGTTTGCCTTCATACACATTTATAATAATTGTCTGTTTGATCTTTTTAATGGGAAAAAATAAACTAAAATGAATCCAACTTGCAAAGACTCTTTTTTTTCTCCTAAACTAAATTTACTGTGGAAACATGATTAAATCATATTCAGCTGTTTTCAGAATTCAATGAAATTGTCTTTTTAGTAACAATGCTGTGAATGTTTCTCTGATAAATGAAGATGTTTTCGTGTTTGAAAACCGAATATCATCCAAGAGGGACAATAATTAATTTGATGAGTTCCTCACACGAGCCTTTCATGGGCCTGTTGTTCACTAGTTAACGCTGGAACAGCACAAATCCATGTAAATATCGTATTAATGGTTACCAGACGACAGGCTGATGTTTGCTAATCATTGACGTTCCTCCTGCTGATCCCCTCAGAGTCGGTCGTCGCTCGGACCTGAACCGTCCTGTGTGAGCCGGCGGGAGCGTTTTCAGGTGAGCAGACGGAACAACGTTGACTTTATCAGGTTATAATCTGTCTGAATCAGCATCACTGATCTGCTGACTTTGTTTGAAGTCTGTTACTTCAGTTCTGTGTTAACAATGACAGTTACAGGAGTTACTGAGCTCAACTGCTTTATTCTGTCGTCCTCCCTGTAAACACGACGTCTTAGTCAACTAGTTACTGTGTGCAGGTGACCCTGCAGTGAGCCGGATGAGCTAACGCGCTAACAGGACAAACCAACAGCATCAGCTAACATCAGCCACAAGCTCTAGTTAATCTAATGTTCACAGAACGTTTAACAGGTATTTATTATTTCCAAAAACGTTCCAATGAGGTTAAAAGTGAACCAAGAGTTTAGTTTAGTCGTCAGACGATGTTTGGAAAATGCTGTCAGGAACACATATTAATAACAAAGAAGGAACGTTCTCAAACCAGCATTCAAAACATGTTCTGCAGATGTTATTAAGGTCTCACATGATATTTACAAAACGTTCCTGTAATGTGTTGTATTAACAAAGGTGGAACATTCTTGCTACAATGATCTGAAGATATTGTTGAGGGAACGTACTGTAGAACGTTGTTCTGTAAAACATTCTCACAATGTTTCATGAAAAAAAATGAAGAATGTTCTCAAACTAATCTTCTAAATGTTATCAGGACCTCAGATGACAGAATGTTTTTTAAAAAAGAACGTTCTGTAACGTTCCTGTAATGTGATATATTAAAGGTGAAACATTTTGCCTTTTTGTTGAGGGAACTCATCACAGAACGTTCTTCTATTAGATCTTCCTGCAATCATGACAAAGAAAGCATGTTCTAGAACAACATTCACAATACGTTTTCCGGATGTTACTGAGGCCTCAGATGACGGAACGTTCTTTATAAGACGTTCCTGTAATGTGATGTTTTAACAAAAGTGGAACACTCTTGCTGCAATGTTCTGAGAATGTTGTTGAGGAACACATGATAGAACGTTTTTCTACAAAACATTCTAACAATGTTTCATGAATCCAACAATTCAAAATATGTTTTCCAGATGTGACTGAGGCCTCAGATGATGGAACATTCTTTATAAGACGTTCCTGATATTTGACATTTTAAGAAAGCTGAAACATTAGAGAACCTTCTCTGTAAAACATTCTCACAACAAATGAAGAACGTTCTAAAACCAGCATTCAAAACATGTTTTCCAGATGTTGTCTAGGCAAGACGACAGAATGCTCTTTATGAGACGTTCCTGCCATTTGATATATTAACAAAGGTGGAACGTTCTGTCTGCAATGTCCTGAGGATGTTGTGAGAATGTTGTCAAGGGAACACACTGTAGAATCTAAAAAATGTTCAGTTTTTCAGTTCTGAGAACACTGGAGCGTCACGGTCTAACAGTTTTTAGAACGTCTTTAGTTTAATATCATCAAGAAAAACCTTCTGGGAAGTAAAATACAAAAAAAAAAGCTTCCTGCTGAAAACATTACTAGAACTTTGCAGAACGTTTTGAGAATAAAAACGCTCTAGCTGAGTCAGAGCAGCGTTGCGTGACACAGCAGACCTGGAATTGCCCTTTGTGGTCTCACCTCATGTTCTACAGAGATCACGTGGACTTCTGTCCTCACTAGAACGCGTTCAGCTGTTCTGCTGCTCAGTACCTGGAAACATATTCATTAAGTCCTCGGGTGCGCGCTGGTGTTGACGGACCAGAATCATGCGATAACAGTCACGTCATGTTCAAGGAGAACGTGCAGAACGTTCACAGGAGAAACAACTGGAAGATCGTCATCAGTATTTTTGGTTTGCAAGAGCAAATGTGTTTAATTGACAGACTTGTTGACCTCAAAGGTCTTTTAGTTCTGCTCCGTGCCAGTGTGGAACTTTGCTTCAGTGCTGCTGTTCATTTTTTGCTAGTTAATAGATCAACGAATCAACCTCCAGAGTCCAAAATAAAGGTGAACAAAGGAGGAAGAAGGTCTCAACGTTCTGTGTCTACAGGGAAAAAAAACAGACATATTTAAATCAGGCCAGGACATGAGCTACCTTAAAGTCTGCTTCCCCTCAGAAATCCCCCAGAAAAACCATACCTCCGTCCTCCATCTAGTTTACTCTCCTAATCCAGCTGTGGGATCCTGGTCATGTGATGTGAGCCAAACAGTCCACAAAGTGCGTTTAAAGAAGTTCTGTCCTGAGGTATTAATTTGTGTCTGACTGTGGTAAAGTGGGCAAAACTGTAAATTCCCCCAAATCCACTGTACCTCTGAACCACCTCCTCAACCGAGTGACACATTTGGGCTTCTCGACATGATCTCCTTTATACACATACAGTAATAAAAGTCACTTCACTTCCACTCTGAACACCTGCATCAGCTGGTTTTCTAGTTGTGCATTTTTGAGGTGCAGAAAACATTTAGCCATGGTGCTTGCTGCCAGACTGTACTTACTATGGAGTGTTAACTGTGCAACTGGAATTTATCGTAAACCAGAGTTTTTCCTACACAGAGGAATCTTTGGTGCCTCTCTGAGATGTTACAGACAGCACCTCGGGGAAGTCACAGCAGCAAAACAGTAAGAAGAGGGAATTTAAAAAACAACACCACCATTATTTGCACTTCTGTTAGTTGGTGTTTGATTTAATCCAACATAACAGACACTTCTGTTTATCAAATGATCAGCAATGTTCCACAGACTCACTGCCTTTGGACCGGTCTAACTTCCTGAACAGTGAAGCCCCCCACAGGCCCAGTCTGAGTCCGGTTAAACTTTAGAAGGTTGATTAACCAGCAAGTTAAAAATGGAAAAGATTCAAGATGTTTTCCCAGCTGACAGAAGGCAGCTGATGAGAAAATGTATTTATATACTGAACGTTAACGTATAAATAACCTGAATATTAACACACCAAACTGCTGAACACGTGCAACACATGAACCTGTTCAAAATGGATCTTAATGCACAAAAGCATCAATAATCTGGATATTAATGCAAAATAATGCAAAAAAAGGGCCATTAGTTTGCTGTTAACACATAAAAAGTGTCAGTAATCTGAATAATAATGTACAAAACTGTCATAAAGGTGGATATCAACACAGGAAAGTGTGAAANAAGCTGAAGAGTTCAATGAGTTCAGACAGAAATACACCAAAGATTTTACAGCTCTGGTAGAAAAACACATGGAGGAGCTGCAGGAAGTGAAGCAAAAACACGAGAGACAAATGCAAGAAAGAGAAGACAGTAACCGTAAAGAAAGTGAACTGTTCCAAAATCTCTCAAAGCACAAAGAAAAACATCTCAAAGAAGAAATTGAGGACTTGAAGAGAAAACATGAACAAGAGACAAAAGATCTTAAAGAAAAGTACCAGAGAAGCTGTATCATCCTGTGATACCCACTGTTTCAGTTTTGATCATTCAACGTTAACATCATTTAAACATTGTCAGTGAAAGTTTATCTCTCCATCATATGTGAACTTTTGTGAAAATATACATATTTTGTCTATCTAGTCTATAAAACTTCAGAAAATGTGAATTAGTAGAAAACATTCACATTTAATAATCAGTGGTGAAAGAAGCTTGGCTTTCTATATTTGAGCAATTACTCAAACTGATGAATCAATGATCAATTCAGCTGGTAATTAATAGTTGACAACTAAATAATGAATAGTTTCTGCTGTTGTCCCAATACCAGCATCAGGCAGCGTACGACTTTGTTCTTGTGCAAAAAGAACAGAATTACAGCAAATTAAGTCTTTATTGGTTTATTTTAAACTAACGATTAGCTTTGACTCCATGTAGCTTCCATTAGCTACTATCTGTTTTAGCTCACTCATAATAAAACTAAAGTATTTGTTTCAAGATTTTTGCTCCCACATGGTGAGCTTGATTCATATATTTAATCTCACGTTGCTCAATTTTCTACCGATTTTCAAACTGTTTGGTTTGTTATAAGCGTCAGAGGTGTAGTTATAACACTGCACTTACGGATAATTATGGTACACTCTCACAGCCAGCAACAATTTGTGTTTTAATTATTTTGTGTTTTATTTGTATTTTTGTCATTTGAATTGTAGCCACGTTAATAACGTTTGTAAGAAACCAAACAATCTGTCAAGATTTCAGCGAGATAAGAGTATGTATGAGAGTTTGTGCAGATCACTCACCTTCCTTCACGTACCACAGGTTCCGCCAGAGAGCTTGCCTGTATCAAGATGGCTGAAGGATGATCCCGTTCGAAACGCTGCCTTAAGACATCGAGCCTTTATTATACATATCTATGGATTCTGAGGCAGACAGCAGACTGGCAGACGTTTATGTGGACAGAGACGATGTGAAATACAAGTACATATTTTCACATATTATTATATAGAACTGAACGAACAGTAACTCCTTTACTACAATACTTCAAATTAAAAATAAAGCATAATCAAACACAAAATGTCCTGAGAAGACTTTTTACTTTTCTACAGACACTACTGTCAAAATACGACACCATATACTTTGATATGAAAACACAGAAACTAAAGAAGACAAGTGCTGTCAGCAATTCAATATTATTTTTTATTTAACCTTTACTTTAACCAGGAAACTCCTTGAGATTAAAATGTATTTTTTGAGAGTCACGTGGCCAAGAAGACACATCATTGTAAAGTTACACATATTATAAGGTCGAACATGACACAAATGATACAGGACAAAGATAAAACGCATTAAACAATCAGGGGACTAAGATGCACAAAATCAAATCAAATCCAGCTCAGTTCAACTCTTCAGTTCCACGTCTACAACATAATCCCACGTGTTCTTTCATAGTTTGATGTCTTCAGTATGAATCTGCAATGTTGAAATTGATCAAAATAAATGAAATCCATTGACGGTGAAGGTGTGTCCAAACTTATGACTGCTACTGCACATCCAGATTAAGTCTCTACAACACTAAAAATAAAACACACATCCAGCAGCTGTTTATTTAGGACACTCTCGGGTTTCAGTCGCTCCTCACTCTTTTTATTTTCACTTTGAGCTGTGATCGACTCGCAGCAGAAAGTTTATCTGCAGAACTAAAACCTGTAAAACCAACAGAAGTGAATCTGCAGCAGGTTCCAGCAGACACGGATTGATCCGGATCGATGGGTGAGTATCGGCTGTCACTGATTCTGATCATTGGAGCGGCTTATTAGCGCAATAAAGTGATAGAAGCGATGTTGTTCAGACTCTTTAACTCCACAGATTCTGAGTTCTGCTCGTTTCTGGGCGACTCTCACAAACGTAGGAGCAGTTTTAATGTCAGGACTAAAGTCTGGGCTTCGTGTTGATTCTATTTATTATCTAGAGGCTGAGGAGGCCTGTGTGATCCTGGAAGGCCTGGACTTTTATTTCCTCACACACTGATGCTGGCTGTCAGCTCCACCTTCTGTTTTCTGACTGTCACATGTTTTTATCAAAGTCCTGCACTTCCTTGGTTACTTTTGCTGTTAGTTTTGCTCACTGAGACTTTTTCATGCACTAAAGTTTTATTTCAGAATTATTGTAAGTTTTATTTCTGCTGCAGAACTTTGACCTAGTTGGGCTCATCACTGCCATCATGGGGAGACACAACATCCTGCAGCAAGTTCACTTCAATGCACCAGTTTGTTCTGTTCCTGCATCTATTTCTGTCTTTATCAATATAAAAGAAAACATTCAATTCACCAGGTGACAATTCAAAATATAATGGAAGTTATTGCAGGCAGGCTCTCAGACATTCAGTGTTATTTGTAAATATTAAATTCCTGTGTGTCAAATTTCTGATTAAATATCATCCCTGCTGATTTAATCTTCTGTCCTCTTTAGCTTCTTTTGTTCGGGTCAGTGACTACAATACATGTACATGATAGAATGATAAATTGATTTGGATTTGAATTAATTTTATTGTTAAGGTCAACACCAGGAAATAACAATTATTTTATATATATATATATATATATATATACACACACACATATATATCACTTTCAATTCATTTACACAATTTGGGGTAAAAGCAAAAGAAATTCATGTCCCTCTGGATTAAGAAAAACAATCAAATGCAGACCTTTCACTGACAATTTCAATCAAGGTGTTCATTTAGTTTCACTTTCATGAAAACAGTTTTTACCCCACTGCCATAACTCTACTGAACAGCTGAGCCATCCTCAGCCAAAATTGTTATTTGAACTTCTATTTTACACAGTGTACATATACATTTTCTGCTCAGATGTGTAAATTCTTGTATATATTTGTCTTATTATCTTGTTTAATTTTTTATTATTATTTATTGCATTGTATTTTATTCTTTTCTTCTGTAGTTATTTTAATTAATTAATTAATGCTCCAGGAGGGGGCCCCGGTTTCCCTGATCCAGGCGAGGTGGCAGCTTTCATTTTTTGTGCTGTCATCTGGGGTCTTTGAATCGCTCTTTGTCTGGTCCCTCCCCCAGAACCAATTTGCCTTGGGAGACCCTACCAGGGGCTAATGCCCTGGACATTATAGCTCCCAGGATCACAGGGACACTCGAACCCCTCCACCGCGACAAGGTGGCGATTCATCAGGGGGTTGCTTCCTCAAGTGAGGGAGTTTAAGTATCTCGGGATCTTGTTCATGAGTGATGGGAAAAAGGAGCGTGAGGTGATCAGGTGGCTTGGTGCGGCGTCAGCAGTAATGTGGGCGCTGTACCGGACCGTCGTCCATCTACGTCCCAACCCTCACTTATGGTCACAAGCTTTGGGTCGTGACCGAAAGAACGAGATCGCGGATAAAAGCGGCCAAAATGAGTTTCCTCCGCAGGGTGGCTGGGCTCAGCCTTAGAGATAGAGTGAGGAGCTCTGACATCCGGAGGGAGCTCGGAGTAGAGCCGCTGCTCTGCGTCGAAAGGAGCCAGCTGAGGTGGTTTGGACACCTGATTCGGATGCCTCCGGGTAGGCTTCCTCTGGAAGTCTTCCGAACACGTCTACCTGGGCGGAGACCCTGGGGCAGACCCAAAATCGTTGGAGAGATTATATCTCTCGGCTGGCCTGGGAACGCCAGAGGGATCCCCCAGTAAGAGCTGGAAAGCGTCACCGGGGGGAGGGAGGTCTGGAATGACCTGCTCTGCCTGCTGCCTCCGCGACCCGACCCCGGACAAGTGGAAAAAATGGAGGAATGGATGTAGGTCTGCATGTAGATGAGTGAGATAAATAGATGGACTTTTTCTTCTGTTCTTTCAGGCTGTTGAAGCCGGCAGTAGGTCTCCAGGATATTTATTCTGATGTGACAGTCACATGATGGAGACTGCAGCACCTGGTGAGTCGTCGTACTGAGTTTTATACCTGCTTGAGTTTTGGTGCTGCTCGTTATTCTGCTGACATCATTTGGACGGGCTGTACAAGCACATAGACTTTATTCATGTAGAGGTCATTTACAGCAGGTGTGTTACAGGAAGAAAGGAGAAATGTTGTTTTGGGGCATTTAATGAGGCTAGGTGCTTTAAGTAAGAACAGTAATAATTTATAATGAATTAATTTGTATGTTTTCTGCATTGACAGTTACAGATGTGCAGCCACGAAAGCGCAGAAGCAGCTTTGAATTTCTGCCACCTAACCGTAAGTTTAACTGAGTCTGGACTGTTGAACACAGAGGCAACGGTGCTTTGAGTTTAGACAACTTCTAATGAAAATATAATCAACTTACAAACTACACTGAGTTAGAGAATTAGCTTTTCCTCTACAATTAGTAATAATGTAGGGCTGCAAGTAACGATTATTTTGATCATCGATGAATCCCTCAGTTATTTTTACAATTATTTGATTAATCTTTTTCTGTTGTTTTAAACAAACTTTTTTGATTAGGCTTTATTTACCCAGGTAAGTTGCTAAGAACATATTTTCATGAAGAAAAAGAAAAACACAAAAGAATTGTGTATTTTACAGTATTTTAACTAATTTCTGTAAACACGGCTAAAATCAGAAAGAACACAATGAGCTTTATGTCTACCTTGTCTGTGGAAAGATATTTCAATTGAAAGCATCACACAAAAAATTTGATAAACTTGTTTTTTGTTGTTGTTGTTTTTTTTTTAAAGTTTGTTTTTGCAAAGTTTGCCAGTCACTCGTATTTTGAGATTTAGTGTGAAGTGCTCCCACACTTTGGATGATTTTGTTTGTAAAGTTTTTTCTCCTGATTTTTCTTTGTTCTCCTTTTTCTTTGAACTTTCGCCTGCTGCCTGGCTGAACACATTGACTGTGCTGGGGCGCATGTGAAGAAAAACAAGGCCAATGATTGGCTGTTGGCAGCTTCTCCTGCTGTGCTGGTGGACCACAGCCACAGCTGGCTCATTACTGCCACACTCTGGCAGCTGCTAGAACAGATTAGTTGAAAATATATAAAAAAAATTTAAAAAAGGGGCCGCTTACAGTAAAAAATGTTACTAAGCAAGAAATCATTGATTAAATTAGCTGACAACTACTTTATTATTGATTTTAATCTATTAAATTGATTAGTTGTTTCAGCCCTAGAATTATCACATCTTTACTGAAAGAAAACTAATGCATTAATCAACATATTTTCTATTATTTTCTCTTGTATCAACAGTGTCTGCATTCAGGATTGTGCTGNTGAAGAGATGGTGAAATGCATCAGTCTTCTGTCTCCAGGACCACATGTCTTCCTGCTGGTGCTACAGATCGGCCGACTCACACCAGAGGAGAAGGAGACATTAAATTTAATCAAGAAAGGTTTTGGAAAGAATTCAGAAATGTTCACCATCATTCTTTTCACTAGAGGAGATTCACTGGAGAGGGATGAACAGTCTATTGAGGATTACATTAAAACAGGATGTGATGATTCCTTTAAGAAGCTGATCTCTGACTGTGGAGGAGGATACCACGTGTTTAACAACTATGATGAACAAAACCGAACACAAGTCAGTGAGCTGATAACAAAGATCGACACCATGGTGAAGGAAAATGGAGGAAGCTGCTTCACCAACGAGATGCTGCAAGAAGCTGAAGCAGCGATACAGAAAGAAGTGGAGAGAATCCTGAAGGAGAAGGAAGAAGAGATGAAGAGAGAGAAAGAGAAGCTGGAGAGAAAACATGAGGAAGAAATGGAAGCAATGAAGAAAAGGACAGAAGAAGAGAGAGCAGAAATTGAAGTGGAGAGGAAACAAAGAGCAAAACAACTTGCAGAAATGGAGGAAAACATTAACCGGGAGCGTGAGGATAAAAAGAAAGAACAGAAAATTAGAGCAGAAGAGGAGATGAAGAAGAAAAGGCAAGAAGAACTTCAACAACAGGAGTGGGAACAAAAACTTGGAGCTCTGGAGACAAAAATAAAGTCAGAATCAGAGAAAAAGCAAACAATTGACAGAGAGCTGGAGCAGAGCAGAGAGGAGATGAGACGACAACAAGAAAAGTGGAAAAATGAGCGAAAAGAGTGGTGGGAGAAACAATACCAAGAAGACGAACAGAGACGTCAGGATGAGCAAGAAAAACTCAGGAAGCTCCAAGAAGAATATGAGCGGGAGAGACAGAGATATGAAAACCAAAGGAAAGAAGAAGACCAGAAGAAACGAGACCAAGAGGAGAGAGAGAGAAAAGAATTAGAAGAGAAGTATAAGAAAGACATGGACAGCATGAAGAAGAAATACGAAGAGGAGGCCAGAAAACAAGCTGAAGAGTTCAATGAGTTCAGACAGAAATACACCAAAGATTTTACAGCTCTGGTAGAAAAACACATGGAGGAGCTGCAGGAAGTGAAGCAAAAACACGAGAGACAAATGCAAGAAAGAGAAGACAGTAACCGTAAAGAAAGTGAACTGTTCCAAAATCTCTCAAAGCACAAAGAAAAACATCTCAAAGAAGAAATTGAGGACTTGAAGAGAAAACATGAACAAGAGACAAAAGATCTTAAAGAAAAGTACCAGAGAAGCTGTATCATCCTGTGATACCCACTGTTTCAGTTTTGATCATTCAACGTTAACATCATTTAAACATTGTCAGTGAAAGTTTATCTCTCCATCATATGTGAACTTTTGTGAAAATATACATATTTTGTCTATCTAGTCTATAAAACTTCAGAAAATGTGAATTAGTAGAAAACATTCACATTTAATAATCAGTGGTGAAAGAAGCTTGGCTTTCTATATTTGAGCAATTACTCAAACTGATGAATCAATGATCAATTCAGCTGGTAATTAATAGTTGACAACTAAATAATGAATAGTTTCTGCTGTTGTCCCAATACCAGCATCAGGCAGCGTACGACTTTGTTCTTGTGCAAAAAGAACAGAATTACAGCAAATTAAGTCTTTATTGGTTTATTTTAAACTAACGATTAGCTTTGACTCCATGTAGCTTCCATTAGCTACTATCTGTTTTAGCTCACTCATAATAAAACTAAAGTATTTGTTTCAAGATTTTTGCTCCCACATGGTGAGCTTGATTCATATATTTAATCTCACGTTGCTCAATTTTCTACCGATTTTCAAACTGTTTGGTTTGTTATAAGCGTCAGAGGTGTAGTTATAACACTGCACTTACGGATAATTATGGTACACTCTCACAGCCAGCAACAATTTGTGTTTTAATTATTTTGTGTTTTATTTGTATTTTTGTCATTTGAATTGTAGCCACGTTAATAACGTTTGTAAGAAACCAAACAATCTGTCAAGATTTCAGCGAGATAAGAGTATGTATGAGAGTTTGTGCAGATCACTCACCTTCCTTCACGTACCACAGGTTCCGCCAGAGAGCTTGCCTGTATCAAGATGGCTGAAGGATGATCCCGTTCGAAACGCTGCCTTAAGACATCGAGCCTTTATTATACATATCTATGGATTCTGAGGCAGACAGCAGACTGGCAGACGTTTATGTGGACAGAGACGATGTGAAATACAAGTACATATTTTCACATATTATTATATAGAACTGAACGAACAGTAACTCCTTTACTACAATACTTCAAATTAAAAATAAAGCATAATCAAACACAAAATGTCCTGAGAAGACTTTTTACTTTTCTACAGACACTACTGTCAAAATACGACACCATATACTTTGATATGAAAACACAGAAACTAAAGAAGACAAGTGCTGTCAGCAATTCAATATTATTTTTTATTTAACCTTTACTTTAACCAGGAAACTCCTTGAGATTAAAATGTATTTTTTGAGAGTCACGTGGCCAAGAAGACACATCATTGTAAAGTTACACATATTATAAGGTCGAACATGACACAAATGATACAGGACAAAGATAAAACGCATTAAACAATCAGGGGACTAAGATGCACAAAATCAAATCAAATCCAGCTCAGTTCAACTCTTCAGTTCCACGTCTACAACATAATCCCACGTGTTCTTTCATAGTTTGATGTCTTCAGTATGAATCTGCAATGTTGAAATTGATCAAAATAAATGAAATCCATTGACGGTGAAGGTGTGTCCAAACTTATGACTGCTACTGCACATCCAGATTAAGTCTCTACAACACTAAAAATAAAACACACATCCAGCAGCTGTTTATTTAGGACACTCTCGGGTTTCAGTCGCTCCTCACTCTTTTTATTTTCACTTTGAGCTGTGATCGACTCGCAGCAGAAAGTTTATCTGNTGACTTTTCAGCGGATTATCAGGTAAACCAGAGGATACAGGACATAATTTGGGATTAGGTGACCTTGTAACAGCAGCAGCCTTGAACAGAGGCTGTTCAGAGAAGCTGACTTCTGTTTGCTTCCACAGACGATGTGCAGATCAGCAGCAGCTACAGACTGCAGCCTCCTGACAGTAAGTCACTGGATCCAACCAGTGGGTCACATTCTGCACCAGTTAGTCAAGTTACGCACTTACACATGATTTAAACTAAAGCTGCTGCAAAGACATTTATATCCAGTGTCAGCCGGGAGCATTAAGGACGTGTTGCACTGCCACCTAGTGTCAACAGCGTGGATAGTAACACACACAAAGGTAAACATCAAAATCAATCTGGATCTTAATGCTCAAAAGTCTCAAAAACTGGAACAATTGTGCACAACAGAGTCAATATTCCGGATATTAATGCACAAACGTGTCAATAACGTGGGTATTAATGTACAAAAGTTATATAAAGTGGAATATGAATGCACGGCAGTCACATAAACCTGGATATTAAAGCAGGAAATGTCAACAACCTGGATATTAATGCACAAAAGTGTAAATAATCTGGATAATAATGCACAAAAGTCTTGTAAACGTGGATATTAATGTAAATAATCTGGATATTTATGCATAAAAGCATCAATAATCTGGGCATTAAAGCACGAAAGTGTCAATAGTCTGGATAACAAAGCCCAAAATAATGTGAATAATCTGTGTATCTCTGTATAAATAGTGACACAAATTTGAATATTAATGCACAAAAGTGTCAAAGACCAGGATTAAAACCCCCAAAAAGTGAAAGTAATTTATAGATTAATGCAAATAAAAGTGTCAATAATCAGGATATTAACGCACAACAGCATCAACAACCTGGATGAAAATGCACAAATGTGTTTGAAAATCAGACATAATGTGCAGAAGTAACAAAATCTGAATATTAAACTACAAAATGGTCAAAAACCTGGATATTAAAGCATTAAAGTGTCAATAATCTGGATATTGATGCATAAAAGTGTCAATAATCTGGATTTCAACGTACAAAAGTCTCAAAAACCAGAATATTAACCAGAAAGTGTCAATAATCTGAATATTAATACATGAACGTGTCAAAAACCTGATTATTGACGTACAACAGTGTTTGAAGGTTGGATCTGACACACAAACAGAAGCCAAATGTTTTGTTTTACTGGAGGGTCTTGATATTTAGGACGTGTGCAGGAAGTTCTCACCTTGTTGGGTTCCACACTGAACGTTCCACACCTGAGTGTCTTCACGTTCTCCTGTCAGTGTCTGAGATCAGGGTGGTTCTGATGGGGAACAGCCTGTCTGAGAGGACAGCAGCAGCTAACTTCATCCTGGAGGTTCCTGCCTTCGGCCCCGGTGAAGAACCGGACCTTCAGCCGGCCAGAGGACTGCTGAAGGACAAGGAGATAGTTCTGATCAACACTCCAGATCTGCTGCACCCCACCGTCTCCCAACACAAACTAACAGAACACGTAGAGCTCTGCGTGAGACACTCTGCTCCTGGACCTCATGTGTTCCTGCTGGTTCTGCAGCCTGAAGACTTCACCGAGGAACACAGGCTGAGGCTCTGCAGAGTCCTGAAGCTCTTCAGCGACACACCCTTCGATCACTCCCTGGTTCTGATATCGACGCCCAAAAAGAAGAAGTCGGGCTTCATGGAAAAGTTCAGGTTGCATCCGCCCTTAAAACACATGATCAAACTGTGCCGGTACAGGTTCTTGTGGAGGGAAAACCTCGAACACTCGGAGCTGTTCTCACGCCTGGTCCAGGTTCTGAAGGAGAACAACGGAGAACATGTGAAACGTGACACTCATCAGTAGAAACGCCTGCTGCTGCCGCTCTCTGGGAGAAGACACCCAGAAAGTAAACGTGCAAATCAGGCAGAAAAAGGACATAAAAAACCTGTGGAAGAATGGAATGTTCAAAGATGAATAAACAAGTTTTTGACATGGACATTATTGACAGTTTTGACCTGTTGTGATACATTCAGCATGAAAAGTAATAATTTTATTTGTGACTTTAGTGGTCATTGTCTTTCATTTAACAAAAAATACATAATCGCAGTAAGTTGACATAACAATGTTGATAACTTGGATGCTATTGTACAAAGTGTGAAAAACCAAAATATTCACACACAAAACTGTCACATGCCGACATATTAACGCAAAACTATATCAATATTGTGCTAATGACACAGAAAAATGTAAATAAAACTGAATATGAACACACTAAAGTTTAGAAACCTGGACATTAACATACAAAAGTGTCAACAATCTGCACATTAACACATTAAAGTGTTAAGAACCTGGATTGAATTGCACTAAAATGTCAAAAATCTGCATATTGATGCTCAAACAACCTCAGTTTGCTGAAGCTCCACTAGATGGCGCCACAAAAACAACCTGCTGGAAACCAACCAACCAGAAGTCATGTGACCAGTTTGTTCCTCTTCCAGCTTCAGTGCAAATCAAAAAGAATAAAAACCGAACTATCCATAAATCAACAACAAACATGAGGCAACAAAACTGGCAACCTGAGAGGAGCAACCAGCGTTGACTTTTGGTGTCATGGAGGAAGTTTCATAGGATTAAAACGGCCTTACTGTAAAGATAAATGCTATCAAGTAATCCTTCTGAATGTAACTATCATTTAGGGATACTTTTCATCCAAAGTAATCTAAGATGACTGTAGCTGCTTCTTAATGTAATCTGATTACATGTTGCCTCATCAGTCACCGTTCTCTCTAGAGGACACAAAACAAAACAAAGAGCCAAAGATAAACGTTATAAATTCACATGACACATTTAAATATTAGAACAAGAACCAACAATATTATATATTACATACATTTACATGAGAAATCTGAATATTAACATTAAATTTCTACAATATTATTTATCATATAAATCAATCTAATTTAAATAATATAGCTTCTACAGTATTATTTATTCTATGAATTTATGACTAATTTAAATATTACAGTTGAGACCCCATAATATTAAATATAAAATACTAATTTACTGAAATAATCTAGATATTATACTTAAGACACTCCAACAGTGTTTATTATCTACATGTACCTGACAAGTTTAAACAATAACATTACATTTTCGCATTAATATTTAGAGACATTATAGTTAAGATCCCGTAATATTAAATAGAAAATATTATTTTATTATCCTACGTATTATTTGTTCTATATCGTTATCTGACGTTTTTACAATAATAAATGTAAAATACAAATCAGTGTAAGTGTTAAGGTTGAGACTCTACAATGTTAAATATAAAATGTACTGACTAGTTTAAATATTAAAATACTGTGAATCATATATATTTAGAATAAGTCGCCACAATATTAAACATAAAACACATTTTCAGCAGCAGCTGTTCATTTACGGCCCTCTGTCGACTGTCGGTCGCGATTTGTTTTTTACTTTCACTTTGAGCTGTGATCGACTCGCAGCAGAAAGTTTATCTGCAGAACTAAAACCTGTAAAACCAACAGAAGTGAATCTGCAGCAGGTTCCAGCAGACACGGATCGATGGGTGAGTATCGGCTCTCACTGATTCTGATTAGAGGAGTGGTTTATTAGCGGAAGAAAGTGACAGAAGCGACGTTTTTCAGACGCTGAGGAGGCCTGTGTGATCCTGGAAGGCCTGGACTTTTATTTCCTCACACACTGATGCTGGCTGTCAGCTCCACCTTCTGTTTTCTGACTGTCACACGTTTTTATCAAAGTCCTGCG